CAGTTCCACCCCCTGCCATGGGCAGGGACACCTTCCACTAGACCAGGTTGCTCTAAGGCTCATCCATGTAACCCAAGAAGTTGCTGAAAGACACTTTGGACTGTGCTGAAGGCACCTTTCACAAGATTCTCACAGGTCACAGAACATCTCACTCCACTTAATTCAAATGTAACAGAACTAATACACTTGAGAGCTGAGAGGAAATGATCATTTTGTGTAGATTATCCTTTGCCTGCAGATTTCAGAATATGGAAATTTCAGGCTCATAATGGAAATTCAGTTGCAGCCATGACTAAAGCACCTCCAACATGGCAGAAATATGAGTTTCAGATGAGTACAGCCCTGCTGTAGTTCAGATAAAATATCCCTGATTTACATTCCTGGAAATGAGCTCACCTACTAACGCAAATATTTCCCATGGTTTGAGCTGTTACGGAGGGGGAAAAGCCATTCATCCATATTTCAGAGCCAGAGATCCCCCGCAGCTCATCTGAATGCCACGAGAGGTACAGATGTGGGAGGAATTTAATGAATGGATAAGAACTACAAATCCTGGAGCAAACACTGGGATCAGTCATTAATGACGCGTTAATGACTGTGGGTGCAGCCCTGGGGAATGGCAGCTCCAAGGATGCTCGTTGCTGGAGAGGGTGGTTCTTTGGAGGCCTCTCCCAGGGAGCAAACCTCCTATGGCTGCCTCTCCCTCTAGAACTATTTTTTTTCAAGTGTTTTTCTTCCCGTGCTGAGCAGGGACAAGATGATAACAGTGGCTGGCACCAGTAAGTTAATTTTATAAAGAACTGACACCCTACTCGAGTGTCAACGATTTAAAAGAGTAATGGATTGTCACTTTTAGCTGGAAAGTGGTTGTTAGATGATTTTAGAAGTCTTTTGCATATTTATTTTGTCCCACTTTAAATAAATTTGGGGAAGATTTATCTCGTTAGCTCCAAATGCAAGTCCCTCCTGGCCTGGCTGAGGAAACAAATTAGACTTCGCAAACATTGCAAAGACTAAATCAATACATTAATATTTAGGGGACATTAAGGGGGCTTATTAAACAGAAAGAGGGCCTTGAGTATTACTTTGGGAATGTGTTTAAATAAAATCCCGAGGTTGTGGTTTCTGACTGAATCTATAAACGGCATTTCCACAGATAACTGAACTCTTTACAGACATGAGTCAAGTACTGATCTTGTACAGAAACGAGACAATGCAGGGAGGGCAGGACATGCACGCACAGGGTCTGTCCCCAGCAGTGTCCCACATGTGTCCAGCATGGGCTGGATTAAAATAAAAACTAAGATGGCAAGTAACTACTGGAAGAAAGTTTTTGTGTCTCTGATACAGTTTGCCCATGGCAGCAGGTAGAACAGGATGATTTTTAAGGTCCCTTCCAACCCAAACCAGTCTGGGATTCTGTGACAGTCTTGTAGAAGTGCTCCCTTAGCTGGTGTTTGTTCTTCCTCCCTGGGATCCACACAAGTGCACTGTTAAAGCAGAACAAAATCCTCCCCAAGTCCTTATTTCACTGCATTTGAGAGAACAATCTCTTTCAGAGGGGTTCTTTACTGATCACCCTGGAAGCCCTCCCTTGATGACCAAGGTCCCTTTGACACCCTACTGTGGTCTCTGTGTCCCTGGAGTCCCAAACACAACTCCTGAAATGCCCTTTGCCCCCACAATCCAAGAGCATCCTCACCACGCCCTGCCTCAGGGAGAAAGGGGCCCTGGGGCTGGGACCACTTGCTCTGCCCCAGGGATCAATTCATTCTCAAGGACAGTGGTAAACATGTCTTAGTATTTTTGCCAATTGAAAGAAAAATGCAGTTTGGAGGATGCGATTTAGACTTTGGTAGAATAAATGTCAGATTAGAAATGGCAGAAATTGCAACCTTTTGGAGAAAAATTATGAGCAATTGAGTGTGGAAACAGGGATTTCATTTTTCTCTTTTACTGTGACAAACAGCTGATGTTTAAATCATCTGAAGCTCATGACTTTGCAGATCAAGCATCTGCCACTGAGGTAGACTGAGTTGATTACAAGCTCCTATCATCTAAACTTTTAATTAATTACTTCATAACTCTTACTTCTTTTTAATAAGGTCACTGAAATGAAGTTAACTGGATTTTGTTGTTCTCTTTCATGTGGTTTTTCTTTCACAGATGTAAATGTGGCCTGAAGACACATTTTCTGTTTTCTTTTTTATTAACTATCTTCATTGATTTCCTTGGTACAAAAAGGAGTAACCGTAACAAGAAACAGTGATCAAGACTTGAGCTGGTGGTCTCCTTAAGGTATTTGAGCAGGGATTTGGGAGACTGAAACTCAACCTCTGTCTCTGCCAGATGTTCCTGATGGGAAGTGGCCAAGTTCCCTGGGTCTTGGATGGGACAGTGATGGAGAGGCTGCTCCTTCCATTGTTCATTGATCATGGTGCTTGTCTGTGTCCTACTCACAGAAATTAGGCATCTTTAACCTATTAAAATGTATTTATTTACTTCCATGAATATGAAACTGTCAGCCCAAAAAGCAGAGAAGAGGATATTCAACATGACAGCTTCTGGCTCTCTGTGTGTAGAAAGACTGACACACACGCACCAAGACAAAGGAAAACAAGAGGGAGTCAGGTTTGCACAGCTTCTACCATGGAGCTTCACAGCAAATAATTTTTCTGTCTGGAGTCTGAAGCTATTTGGGAGCTTATGATCTAACATAAGCCTTTCCTCATCTCATTTGTGACACAAATGTGTGACACATGCACCCATGGCTCCTCCAGCTCCACTGTTTCCAGCAGGAGAGCATCTTCTTCCACTGTTCCTCCATAGAACACAGCCTGGAGGGTACAGGGGTGTGAAGGGACTGAGACTCTTCTCTCAAATTGTTCTTTTCTGCTGTGATTTCCTGTGCCGCTCTGGGTCTGTGCTGAGCTTTATTCACAATGCTAAAGGAGGCCCAGCCCTTTGACAGAACAGTTTTGCTTTGGCATTTCTCCCCAATAGCAGAAATTGTTTCTAATCTCAAAATACAAAGTCATGAAGGATATTACAGGGAGATACAAAGGTGCTCCCATGAAATCTAATTGTATCATCCCCACAAACCCTATAGGGCAGGAAAGGCTGTTTCAGTTCCTCACACCAATCAGCACTTTGCAGTTTTCTTTACAAAATTTGAGGTACTTTCAGACAGGTCAGTCTGCATCTCAAAGGAGGTCTGAATGTGGTGTCCTCACCTACAGAGTCTCAGCATGTGGAAAATGAAGAGATGAGCAGGTGTGCCCAGGTGGTCAGAAAGGCCAGTGGCACCTGGCTTGTGTCAAAAATAGTGTGACCAGAAGGATTTAGGGAAGTGATTTTCCCTCTGTACTGGGCACTGCTGAGGTCTCACCTCAACTCCCATGTACAGTTCTGGATCTCTCATGACAAGAAAGATACTGAGGTGCTGGAGCATGTCCAGGGAAGGGAACGGAGCTGGGGAAGGGTGAGGGTGAAGGTGACCTAAGATTAAGCAAAGCCCTTCCAGACCATCAAATCCAACCTATGCCTGATCCCCACCTTGTCACCCAGCCCAGAGCACTGAGTGCCACGTCCAGTCCTGCACTGGACACCTCCAGGGATGGGCACTCCACCACCTCCCTGGGCAGCCCCTTCCAGTGCCTGAATACCCTTTCCATGAGGAAATTCCTCCTGATGTCCAACTTGAACCTCCCCTGGCACAGCTTGAGGCCATTTTCTCTTTTCCTGTCCCTTGTTCCCTGGAAGCAGAGCCCGACCCCGACCTGGCTCCACCCTCCTGACAGGGAGTTGCAGAGAGTGAGAAGGTCCCCCTGAGCCTCCTTTTCTTCAGGCTGAGCCTCCCCAGCTATTTCAGCTGCTCCTGGTGCTCCAGGCCCTTCCCCAACTACGTTCCCTTCTCCAGACATGGAAAATACAAACATTTTTGCAATCCCTGAACATCCCCCACATAAATCACATGGTGACACATCTTGACACCTCCATGGAAGGTCATAGAAATGACTCAGTGGCGGTTTTTTGGCCATACTGATAAAATAATGTTCTTTAAGCAATAACCACACTTCACTTGGAGCTCCAGCCCAACATTCCTACAAACCATTGGGTTCTAAAGGTCCCGTGGATAGGGATAATTAGTTTGGGAAGCGTTTCACACTCGTTCTTTGTAAGGGACTTCTGTGTGCCATATGGATTAATAGGGATTGCCATTTCAATCCTTCTCTTTTATATTCGCTGCCTTATTACTCATAAAAATGCAAAAGAAAATGTTAATGATGATTGCACCAAAGACTAATAAGTTAAAGCCTTAGGTTATACTTTGCATTTCCGAAGATATAAATGCAATTGCTTAATAATTATGCATATTTTTAACTATTGAGTTATTATTTCTCTATATGCTTGTAGTTAGCCTAATTAATTTTAAGCTCCTGTTGATATATTTTATACATGCAATTAATTTCCGACTTGGTTTTTTAGCCCTTGCATGAGGGCATTAATTATTATGAAGACAATCAAAGCCAAAAATTGTTCACCCTGGAACAACACAATAAATACTAAACCCACGTGTGTAAAACTGACACTGCTGTTCTGAAGTCCTTCTAGCAGAGAACTGTCACTGAAATAAATAGACTGTTCTTATCAGGAATACTGGGATCTGAGTGTTTATGTGGGAAAAGTGCTCCGGAAGAAACAAGAAGAAAGAATGGGAGGGGGAGAGAGAGAGAGAGGAAGAAAGAAAGAGAGGGAGAGAGCAGAGAAAAAAAAGAAAGAAAAAGAGAAAAAGAGAAAGAGAAAGGGGAAGGAAAGGGAAAGGGAGAGGGAGAGAGGAAGAGAAAGGGAGAGGGAGAAAGGAAGGGGAAGGGGAAAGGGAAAAGGAAAGGGAAGGGGAAGGGAAGAAAAAAAAAAAAAAGATGATGGTTCCCATCCGTAAACCAGACCTTTTTCTCTTCCACCTCCCACAAAGATGTGGAATTGGCTCACACACATACCTTGCACAGTTAGGTGCACCTGCATGGTCCTGGGGGTGTGCTGGGTCTGCACAGAGCAAGTGTAGGGCCCATCGTCGGTCACATCTACATCCTGGATCTGCAGGCTGTACTCCCTCCTGTTGGCTGTGGCGATGGAAACCCGGGGATCCACTGACCACTTGTCACTGCCAGCAAAGATAATGCTTGACCGGTTCAGCCAGGCACCTTTGGAGGCTCCATCTTCCAAGTAACACCTGGGAAAAAAATGAAACCATCAGGATGAAAATATAGGAGCTGTTAAGTCCCATGCTCTGCTACTGATTTTTAGACTGAACACCACTATAATATATCAGAGTTGAACCTCAAACCATGGATTATTTGTAAATTCAAAATCATCCTTAACCCAAAAGCCCACATTACAACACAACATACACACACATATTTTTCTGTTCTCTTCTTTCCGGTTTTCCTACTGGGAAAGGTTGGTGGAGCAGTAGGAAGGAAGTCTCAGTTATTTCTGACTGGGCGGGATCAGCCCCTTCTCCTCCAGCCCTGGCCTGTGAGGATCAGGAGCACCATGTGCTCCCATGAAAAATTACTGACCTGTTCCTAAGGCCCAGCCACCTCCTGCTTGCTTAGTGAAGGAACAAAGAGACTTCTTCCACTAAAATATATAAAGACACTGTAGAATTCAAACCAATTTTTTTCTCTTTTCAGAGAGTTTATGAAATCACAGTATCAGGGAATGGTTTGGGTTGAAGGAACCTTAAAGCTCATCCAGTTCTCTCCTTGCCATGGGCAGGGACACCTTCCACTAGACCAGGTTGCTCCAAGCCCCATCCAACCTGTAAAGCCCAGCAGTGGCTGGAAAGGGAGGGGATAAAAGGACAGGGAGAACATGCAGAAAGAGCTTTATTTCCTGAGCTGATGGAGAGACTGAGCTAGTTTGCAGCGAGGTTAAGAATATTTAATGGGGGATCAACACCCACTGCACACTTTACTCCACCTTTCCATGAAGAAGGTGACATCCAGCATATGAGAAAAGGCAGAGAGGAAGTAATGGCAGCGAAAAACTTAGATGTACTCAGGTTTGAGAGAAGGAAACTGCAAATCCAGGAGTAATCTGAGAGTGATGCTGTAGGACTAGGAAATCTGCATTTCTTTCCATAAATTTAAGGAACTGTAGAGAATGAACGAGGCAGATTTTAGGCTCACCACCATGCCCACTTTGGGAATGCATGCTTTAAAATTACTTTAAAGGCTGAAGGAAGGTAATAAGGAAGGTAATACAAAGTGCAACAGACTAATGGGACATTTTTATTTGATAAAGAGGTTTTCACATAAAGGAAATCCAGCAGAAGAAGGGAATGCAATGGAGCTTATCTCTTTGATGAAACATTAAAATAGCACAACTATAGAAACTAGGAGGGAGAAAATGGTGATTTTGTGGCTTAAGCATCTGGCAGTATTGTTTAAGGGGAAAATGACATTCCTTTTAGGAATAAGAAACTAGAAACATGAGGATGAAATTCTTCAGAAATGAATCATAAGAATAACCATTCATTTAATTAATGATCTCAACATTAAATCTGAAAGGGTTCTGACAGAAGATACAACATGGGATAAAAAAATCCCCGTTTATATAGCAGAGAATTGGGATGTCATTGGTGACTGTCACTTTGAGGCTGAAGAGCACAGCAGACACCGGTGAATCTCTGCAGGAGGAGTTTTGTAGGATCTGGTCCCATCCAGAGAAGGCAAGGAGCCACTTTCAAAGTCTTATGAACATTTTCAAATCTATTCTAATGAACAGTCAAGTGGGGAGAAGCAGAGAAAGCTCTAATTCTCTGATGTTTTTCTACACCATATTTCTTTTCTGCTGCTGTCTCTGCAGAGCTGGATCCAGTCAATTATAGCAAATCTAAGAACCCGGGCTGGTGGAAGGTATCCCTGCCCCTGGCAGGGGGTGGAATGGGATCACCTGTAAGGTCCTTTCCAATCCAGGCCTTTTTATGATTCTGTGATTGTCCAGACCCTGACGAAGCACGTTGTGGTATGTGAGAACACCTGTTTCAAACTAAAAATTAGCTCCAAATAAGATGCTTTGCAAAGAGATTAAATATTTCACCTCAGACAGGCTCTTTCAACAGCCCAAACCTCTCCTCTCTCCACTTACTCAAGCCTCATTCGTGTTCCCTCAGGGTGTGGGAGTGAAGTGATTTTGAAATGCTGCAGAATTTGGCTGGAATGCTTTGCACAGGATGGCTTTCAGAGCTAACAGCAGCCAACGTGCTGTATTTTCCCATCATGCACGTGGAATGCGATGGATAAAGTGCATATTTACTCCATGGAAGCAGCAATCAAATGATTCATCTCGGAAATGTTTTCTAATCTAACAAATTTAATCCCTTGCTGTTTGCAAATCACTTTTCAGTTCTGAAAACACAGTTATTCCCTAAAACTCTTCCACAGGCAGCTCGGAGCCCACGTCCCCCCATGTGAATCCCTGGCCAGCAGAGGCCACGCTGTAGTTACTGTAGGGGAACAGAAACAAGAACAATTAAGGATTTGCCCCCTTTAAATGATGGCTTGGCTCTTTCCCCCCATCCCTTTACAATCTCCTTTGAAAGAGCAGCCTTTCACATATGGTTGGTGTGACATAACCAAATGATTGCACGTGGATGAACAATTGCAAATAATAACACTGAGATCAATAAAAACACCAACCCCAGGCAATCCCATGAGATCTGAGCAGCACACATGGACTCTGTGACACCCAAGCCACCCTCATACCTAGGCTCTGACAATCTCTGTGCTCCTCATTGCTCACAGGGTTCCCCACTGGATGAACGGCTTCATTTTAACAAAGAACACTGGGGTTTACACTATTTTTTAAGCTGCAGATAAGAAATGACAACTATGTATTCTTTTCTGTGTACCAACATGAACATGGCATGGAGCTGTGTCAGGAGAGGTCTAGGCTGGATATCAGGAAAAGGTTCTTCCCCCAGAGGGTAGCTGGGCACTGAACAGGCTCCCCAGGGCAGTGGTCACAGCCCAGAGGCTGACAGAGCTCAAGGAGTGTTTGGACAGTGCTCTCAGGGACAGGGTAGGATTGTTGGGGTGTCCTAGGCAGGGCCAGGAGCTGGAAGGAGCTGGACTGGATGATCTCTCTGGGTCCCTTCCAAGTCAGGATATTCCATGATTCTATAATACCGGGAAACACATTGGCTCTTGTGACTGAAACCCTGCAGTGGTGCAGCTCCTTCAAGAAGATGGGGCTTGGAGCAACCTGGTCTGGTGGAATGTGTCCCTGCCCATGGCAGGGGCTTGGAATGAGATGAGATTTAAGGTCCCTTCCGACCCAAACCTTTATGGGATTCTATGAACTGCCCGCTATACAAACACACTGTCCCTGTCCAGGCCCCTCGGACTGCAGGATCAGAGCACACTTGGTGACAACCTCCTCATGAGTGAGGACTGGGGAGGAAAGGCAGCTGTGAAGAGGCAAGGACCCTTCAGAGCAACCCAGTGAGCAGTTCAGGGCCCCCAGCTGTGTGGATCCTGACTGCACCTTGCTGTGCAGCCTGGACAGTGAGATGCCCACACTCAGTGCCTGGAGTGCAGGTCACAGGGCTGCCCAAAGTCCTCCCTGAGAACCTCTAGTTCCTTAAGGAAGCAGCAGAAAAGCTGAGCAAAATGTGTTAAAAACCCTAAAACAGGAATGGCCAAGTGAATATTTAATAAAACCCTCAAATTTGAGCTTATGTCTGGAACGATTTGCGTGTTTGATTTTCCAAACCCCTCAGGGAGCTCAAACACGAGTTTTCAGCCAACACGAGACATGAGGCCGAGCAGCGCTTCGATTTCATGGGAAGCTCCAAGGAGCTGGCAGCCTTCCAATGCAATCCTCTGGGATGAGGCTGAGCCTCAAGCCAAGAGCCCAGCTCCTCTTCGCCTCCCGGTTGTGAGTGCCATAAATACATTAATAATGACCCCAGACCAAGGCACACACAAAGCCTGTGGGATCCCAGCACTGAAGGCCCACAGCGACAGGACCAAGACTGTGGGACCTGGGGTCCATCACTGCCTGTCACTGGGGGACAACTCAAGCCAAAGAATGCTGAGGTTTAATAAAGTCCCAGATTAAAACATTTCCTACACTAATGTATTGGGAACTCATTTATTGAAAAGCAAATATCAGTGGCCTTCCCTCATTTTTCCCTTTCACTCTCTTCTACCTTTCCCTCTCTTCCTCCTTTCCTCTTTTCTTGAATTGTTTGTTTTTAAACTCATGACAGCATTTCCTGCAAAGCAATTTCTAAAATCTATGCATAAGACTAATTATTTTTAGTTGTTAATAATTACACTGTAGCACAATTAAAGTAAGCATAACAATCATAAAATGAAAGTAACTTTTGCTCTTTTTACCTTTACATAGCTTGGAAAACTATTGATGAAACCAGAGCTGAACTCAGAAGAGAATTCTTCTATTTTTAAACTTGGAAGATTGGAAAAAAATACAATTTATTTTTTAACTGATGATTGTAATCAGAAATTCCCTACTCAACAAGCATAAAAAATAGATTTTAATGTTAACTGTCATACATGGCTGAGGGTACTTTATTATTTTTCCAATCATTATTAATGGGGATGATCTTCTGTAATTTGTAAGTACAGAAAAAATGTGTCTCACCCAGCTTCCCTCAAGTTTTTAATCCTCTTTTTTTTACACCTCCCTCTTTCCCAGCTCTGTAGTCTATTATTTCCCCATAATTAAAACAGAGACCTATTAATCTTTGTAAAAAACAGTTCTTTGCAGGTGCTTAATTAAAGCAGCACATGGGCTCTGTCTCTAGGAGACCTCGCAGTGCACCAGGGCTGGGGCTCCCAGCTGGCTGCCCCTGAAGGACAATGCATGGGAATGCACGTGGAGCCTTCCCACATTCCATAGAACACAGGAATGTGGGACACTTGTCCATCTCCAAATAGCCTTTGATTTCCTCTGGTTTAAGGACAATGCTTCTGGATAGTGCTTGGGCAGCGTTTAACAAGAAAATAATCTAAGAATCACAGATTGGTTTGGGTTGGGAAAGACCTTAAAGCTCATCCAGTCCCACCCTCTGCCATGGGCAGGGACACCTTCCACTAGACCAGGTTGCTCCAAGCCCTGTCCAACCAGGCCTTGGACACTTCCAGGGCTGGGGCAGCCACAGCTTCTCTGGGCAACCTGTGCCAGGGCCTCACCACCCTC